TTGATTCCCAGTCAGGGCACATACCTAGGTTGTGGATTAGGCTTTTGATCAGAATGTGTATGGGAGGCAACGGATTGATGTTTCTCACACTGATGTTTCTCTCTCTTCCTCTCTCCCTTCTTCTCTCTCTAAAATCAGTAAAAACACACACACACACACAAAACAAACAAACCCAAAACAAAAAATACAGGTGGCAGCCAGATTTGGGTGGAAAACCACAATTTGGTGATATGACAGCATAATGAATATGAGATTTATTCATATCATGTATCTATCAGTAGTTAGTTCTTTAGATTGTTGGTTAGTATTCCACTGCATAGATATATGACAGTTTGTTTAGTCAGTTGAGTATGTTTGAGATTTTCCTGATTTTTGGCAATTATAAATAAAGCCACTGTAAACATGTTCCTACAGGTTTTTGTATTAATGTAGGTTTTCATTTCTCTTGAGTAATTATCTAGGAGAATTGCTAGGTTGTATGGTACATGTATGTTTCCCTTAATAGTATCCAAAACTCCCAGACTGTTTTCCAAAATAGCTGTATCATTTTGTGTTTCTTTCAGCAATGTAAGAGGGTTCCAGCTGTGTTGTATCCTCACCAGCACTGGTATTGTCTACTCTAAAAGACTGTGAAGAATCTTGGAAACTAGAGTAAAGATATTTACCTTTAACTTAAATTGAGTTGGAAACTTTTGAAAGGTTTTACACTTGGAAACAATGTTAGTTGGGTTTAAAAATTATTACCTTAGCTGCAGTGTAGATAATGACTTGGAAGGAGACACACCAAATGTATGAAGATCTGAAGGAGGATATCATATTAGTATAGGCCCCTATATTATAGGGGAAAGGAAAGACACCTTGACTGGAAAGATGGCAGTGAAGATTAAGTGATTAGATGTGAGAATTTTTTTAGGAGGTAGAGTTGGTAGAACTCAGTGATTTTTCAACTTTGAGCATTGTCCTGTACACTGACAGATGGTGGGTTCAATTCCCAGTTGGGATGAATGCAGAAGGCAACAGGGTGTACATCAATGTCTCTCTCTCTCTAAATAAAACAACAGCAGCAACAACAACAACAACAACAAAACCCCGACAGAACCCATCAACTGCTCTCAAAACCTTTTCCTCCTCTTTTCTTTTAATATTTTTAATCTATCAATTGAGAGAGAGAGAAGAGAGAGAGAGAGAGAGAGAATAAGAGAGAGAGAATTTCAACTCATAAGATTGCCTCCCAGATGGCAAGGTGAGTGAATAGTTATGTGTGTGCTGAGATGACAAGTAAATCAGGGATAGAATGTGCTCATAAAATTTACTAGTAGAACTATAGTGGACATTAGCCAGTTTTGCTGGTAATGGTGTTGGTGCTTGTATGTATGTGAAAATCGATATTAGAATGAATTGAGGAGTGGGTAAGATGCGAGGCAGTAGAAAAAACAAGGGCATACAGGGCTTTTTAAGAACTTTTAGATTGATTATTAGAAACGTGTGTTGAAAGATGTTTTTGATTGTTAAGATGAGACAGATTAGAGCATGCTGGTGAGAAGGATGAGCAGGGGATGATGACAGAAAAATCAGTGTAGTCAATGGAATGACATACCCACAAAACATGAGAGATACCCATCAATCAGATCTAGTAATCTTGCAGAAGTTCAGTTGAGTTTAATAGTCATAGTTATCACCTGTGAACAGAGAAAAATATGGGGCTTTTAGCATTGCCAAATTCTAATGAAGTATATCAAGATATATTGCATTAGAACTTGAATTTATTTTTCAAGTATTTCTTTTTTCCCCCCAAGTATTTCTAGAAAACTTCAACAGAAAATGTCAGGAAAATTCTTTCGCTGTGTGAAAATGCACTGACAGTTTAGTCACTTGTCAGTCTCATGGCCCATTTGAAATCCTCAGATGAAAGACTCCCTCATCAGAATGGCCATAGCTCAGTGCTATGTGTGTGTGTGTGTGTGTGTGTGTGTGTGTATGTGTGTGTGTAAATTATTTTTCCTCATTAAATGATGGAAGGTATAGACCATGACTAAAAGTTATTTTAGTCTCTACAGCACCTAGCAGTTACATTTATTTAGTTTGTTGCCTTAAATGTATGTAAATGTGAACACAGGGAAATGGTTTTTAGCAGGTAATTAGGATAAGTTATATACTAGTAAAGGAGAATATGATTTTGTGGCTTGGCATCAGAATTAATAGCTTGAAAATTATGGTACCTGATTATAAGCTTTTGTTTTTATGATTCTTCGTAAAATATGTTTTGAAAGTTCCCTTTTATATACTACTAAGGAATCAAACAACAACTCTTTGGTGGTGATACTTTATAGTTGACCAATTACTTTCATGTTACTGTACATTCAGGTGGAAGGTAGCTCAGAGAGGAAGAGAGAGAGACATCATAGGACATTATCCCATTCTACAGGGGAAGAAACCAAGGACCAGAGAGATCATGCATCAAAAGTCACATTACTAGTGAACAAGAGTGCTAAGATCTAAACTAGGACCTGCTGACCCAACTCTAGATTTCTTTCAGCATACTCTATGGCTTCTAGATTTATTTTTATAGAAATCCAATTGGCCTGATTATAATTAAATATGACCACAAGGAGGAGTTTGGTTTACTCTATTTAAATGACCAAAAATCACTTAGAACAATCTCTTGGTCAGCCATAGATCACCTTTTTCTTGAGCAAGCTGTGGCCTGTGGTTCTGGGAAAACATGGCATTATGGCTTGTCCAGATGCTGTGATTTAAAGAAAAGAATACAGAAGTGATATATCTGTGGGTAATGATCTCTCAGAGCCACGCTAGCCAGCACTGTTCATTATAGTGAATGAACCTCATGTTAGCATTTTGGGGGAAAAAACAGATACTTACCTATTTTTCTAGGCCTTTGACTCTGACTTCTGACAGCTATTTTTTTTTTTTTTAAAGGCCAGCATCATTTTGGATTTAGGATGATAAGTTACATTCTAATGAGAGTAGATCATTATTCTTTAGGGGGACTACGGCTGGATTTAATTATATTATTGTTAGAACTTTCAAAAATCAAAACAGTGTATATTAAATGTATAAAATTTGTAATTTTATAGTAAAACACTTAATGGGCAAAGCTCTGACTATAATCTTTGAAAAATATCATTCCCGTTGGCCTTAGCTGATGATTTACCTTGTGTTAAACAGATTCTTTTTAAACTTATAGACCCTCAAACTCTAGGATATATTTTCATCAGGGGAATTAAGGAATGAAGAGCACATACTTTTAAGAAATTGCAGAAAGTCATAAAGTGCTTTTTAAAACCTCCTCCTCTCAAAACTTGTTAATGTTATTTGAACGAATTGCTGCTACTGGATAAAAACATATCCTTATGTTCCCTATATATTGTCTTAGACAAGGTGTTTGGGAATTGCTGTACGGTGTGGGGAATAATTAAACTTGTCTGTATATGAAACCAAATCAAGCAGTTGAGAGGTGGAATCTGAAACCAAGTGTTCCATGGCTCAGTAGTTGTGACTCATGGGGAAAAAACACACCTAGATTTTAAGGACTTTTTTCTTCCCAAGACAGTTGGTGGCGTAACTCCATGTGGCCTGTGGACTGAGGTCTAGCTCTGGTATTCCTTATCTCCTTGCAACTCTCTTTTAGCATGTTGTAAAATTTATTAAGTGAGCATTCCAGATGAACAACTGAAAATGGTCTCCTTTTACATCAGATGACCCTGGCCTATGTTAAAGCAGCCGAGAACATTTCAGAACCAGTGAACAAGGACCCTCCTTCCCGAGAAGCTCAGATACTGACTTTGAGAAACACGCCTGAATTCGATGTCCTTGTCATTGGAGGAGGAGCGACAGGGTGTGGCTGTGCACTAGATGCTGTCACCAGAGGTAAGTCTGGTATGGATGGACGTGACACAGATAAAGGAAGTTTCCACCTTTCTTCCCCAGTACAAACACACAGTCCCCTCTATGCTGGCTGTCACATTTCTGTTGCATTTACTAATTCCATCCTTTGTGAAGCACCTTCATATATTTTTTTGATGTAGGCAGTTGCACAGTTTTAAGATTAAATAGTACTGTTTTACACTGAAATGAATTTAAAAAGGAAAGTTTGTATTCCCGTGATTTTATGAGCTGATGTTCTTATAATTTTTTTTAATACATAGTAAATACATCTCTATGAAATCCTCCTATATAATAAAAGGCTAACATGCAAATTGACCGAATGGCAGAACAACCCATCGCTATGACGTGCACTGACCAAAAGGGGGCAGAAGGTCAACACAGGAGCTGTCCCCTGGTGGTCAGTGTGCTCCCACAGGGGGAGCACCGCTCAGCCACAAGCTGGGATCATGGCTGGCAAGCGATGGTGGTGGGAGCCTCCACGGCAGTGCTAAGGATGTCCAACTGCTGGCTTAGACCCGTTCCCCACTTCCCCTGAGGGCTCCTGGACTGCAAGAGAGCACAGGCCGGGCTGAGGGGATCCCCTGCCTCCGCGTGCACGAATTTTGTGCACTGGGCCTCTAGTAAGAAATATTTGTATATGATCTGAAATCACATTTATGTCAGTTAAGAGTAGAAAAGATTTATTAAATGAATTATTCTATTAAAATAACTCTTTTTGTTCCTGTATCTTTTAAAATAGTTTCTTCTAGTGAAATATGGACTGCAGTTTGGTAAACTCCAGTGTATGTGAATAAACCGTTGCTAATCTATTCTCTCTCAGTCACTCTATTAGTTAACATTAGGAAAGACATTAGAAAAGTTCATTAAAAATGGAAACATGACCCTAGACGGTTTGACTCAGTGGATAGAGCTTCGGCCTGCGGACTGAAGGGTCCCAGGTTTGATTCTGGCTAAGGGCATGTGCCCAAGTTGCAGGCTTGATCCCCTGGAGGGGACGTGCAGAAGACAGCCAATCAGTGATTCTCTCTCATCATTGATGTTTCTATCTCTCCCTCTCCCTTTCTCTCTGAAATCATTAAAAAAAAAAAAAAAGGAAACATGACATGGAAAGAAAGGCATTTTGGTTTGGAACACCAATGCTGTTACTTAAGATATATTTAATAGAATAATTCCTTTCCTCTGGTTATTAATGTGGAGTCACTTTCTCTCTCTCTCTCTCTCTCTCTCTCTCTCTCTCTCTCTCTCTCTCAAACACACACACACACACACACACACACACATGGGCAAATTAGTTAATTTCTCTCAGGTTCCTCAGCTTTCAAGTAAGGAAAAATACCTTCTGTCGATGATGTTGAGAGTATTAAATGTATAGTCATGAAAATGACTTGAAAACAGTGCACTTGGGGGCGGGGGATCCCCTCAGCCCGGCCTGTGCCCTCTTGCAGTCTTTACTTATATATAATACACATTATTTTTGATGTGAGCCAAGTACTAAATCAGCTATGAGAATACAGAATAAGATGTGGCCTTGCCCTCAAGAAGCTTATAATCTATTAATATTTGCTGAACAAATACTTTTTTTCCTTTGAGTAGTGAAGGACAGTCAGTAGTGATCAGGACATTAACCAGTTAATGAATAGGTCAGCGGTTCTCAACCTGTGGGTCGCGACCCCTTTGGCGGTCGAACGACCCTTTCACAGGGGTTGCCTAAGACCATCCTGCATATCAGATATTTACATTACGATTCATAACAGTAGCAACATTACAGTTTTGAAGTAGCAACGAAAATAATTTTATGGTTGGGTCACAACGTGAGGAACTGTATTTAAAGGGCCAGAAGGTTGAGAACCACTGGAGTAGGTGATTTGTGGATAGTGATAATTCTGGAGAGAGAAGGGTTTCCAGAGTCTGAATATTGACCAAACTTAATTTTTACAGTTAGTAACAGCCAGGAAAGTGCTGTACTTTTAATATCTCTTGGTATATTGACTGCTGTTGTTTTTTTTTTTCAATAATTGACTTAATGTGTTTTTGATATATGTGGAATTGTGATTTATAAAGGGGATGGATGAACCTTCTTTTTTTTTATGCTGGTAGTTCTCTTGGGGTAGCCTTTATAATTAAAATGTATAGAGATGTTGAACTTAATCTATATTTATCCTTTTACTACCATCCCTGATCATATCAGTGGCCCTCTGAAGTGTGAAATAGTCATGGGCATTTGGTTAATGAATTGTGCATTGTTGCTGTTCATTCATGGAATTTGCTCTTTTATTATATTTGATGCTTCACTTAACAACAAATTTTGCTTTCTCTGCATTTGATATGTTTTTACCAAATTATTCCTGATTGTATCCATTAATCTTTAGTCACATTTGACAAAAATAAATTACTGTGATCTTTTAAAGTTACCCGTAATAATTAGATTTTTCAGGACATCAAAGTTTTGGGGGAGCATTAGATATCTAACGGCTTGTATAAAAATGTTTGCACAAGCTTTTTGATAAAATACTATGCCCCAGTGCAATTTAGGTAATGGATAAACAAAGAGTACAAGGAAGAGGAAAAAGTTACGACGTCTTCATAATGAACATTTATTTGCATCCTTACCATCTGCATTTTTTGGGGAATCAATTTTCATTTGGAATATTATGTTATAAACGTAATTTGCACAGTCCTCACGTTCTCCTACAGGTCTCTGGGGCTCATTAGAAAGTGTTTCACTGTTTAACACCTCCGTGTCCAGTTCCTGGGCAGAGGCACAGCCTTGAAGCCCAGTTGTGGGCACTTTGTCCCCAAAGAGAGCTGGAATGAGCGGAAGCTGACAAATATATTCACACTCCCAGCATTCTTCAAGTTGTTTTTATTCAGTTCTTCATGTTGTTTATGTGACTTTACTTATGTATCAGGAATCACCTAGTACAGTTTTGGTTTAAAACCTGATTTATAAATGTAACCTTTATGGTTTCTATTCAAATTCCAGAGAAGACTGCTTTTCACTGGAGGAAAACATTATCGGTCTCTTGTTTAAAAATGTATGTATACTTTTAGTTTATGAGTGGGTCTAGCTAGCAATTCTGGAATTCTCACTACAGTTTCTTCAAGTTTAAGGCAGTACAGCACAGTGATTAAGGGCTCAGGTTGTAAACTTAGAATGAATTGGGATAAAATTTTGGCTTCATCCTTTACTAGCACCATGACTTTCCACAGGTGTCTTTAAAAAAATTTTTTTTTGTAATTGATTTTGGAGAGGAAGGGTCAGGGAA